ACTGGAGACCTCTGATGCATGCAGAGGGAGACCACATGACTCTCATCAATATATATAATGCCTTTATAGAGCGTACGTACAGTTCAACCCTCATCACATAAATTCGTTGTTGGTTACAGGGTTCCCACTGATCAAGGAGTCTAGAATGGCAAAGTAAGGACATTTGTTACATCAGCACTGGACAGACAGTATTGGATGCTCCCATTAATGGTTAACTAACATTGGAATGTGTTTCAGCATTAGCAACACATGAAGTAATACAGTGTTTTCAATTTGGATATGGAATATAATAGAAACTGTAGCATAATAACCACAGTGGGAACCCAGCAGTAATGTCTATTCTAATGACTATTGAGGTTTTAGTGACATGTAATATAAATCTATGAATTATTAAATAGTGTGTGTGTGTGTGTGTGTGTGTGGTAATTGCAGATAACCAGGATGAGGCATGGTGCACGACAAACTTCCTCAGCCACGCCTCCTTACGATTAGCTGTGGTGATCAGGACGGAGCTGTTGGAGGTGATGCAGCGGATTGAGCTTCCTGTTTCTCCTCCTGCTTTTGGATGTCAAGACAACTGCACAAACATAAAGCGTGCTCTCATCTCAGGCTTCTTCCTCAAAGTAAACACCCTGTTTTCTTCAAACTCAATGATAGAAATGTAATCAGTTGCCTCCCTTAATTTTTTCGCGATAATTAATACTATATTATATTTTTATGCCTCTGCACAGGTGACAGCTGTAGGCAGCTTTTTCATTTTCGGTTGTCTGTCCGTCTGTCCATCCCATTCTTGTGAATGAGATATCTCTAGAACTCCTTGACGGTTTTATTTTTCAAATTTAGCACAAACATTCAGTTTGACTCATCAATGAACTGAGCATTTATTGGTGGTCAAGGGTCGAAGGTCAAGGTCACTGTGACCTTGCATTCTTCTAATTTTTGTGAACACATCATCTGGAGAACAGCTTGAGGGAATTTCTTCAAACGTTCCCTTGCAGTCAAAAATGATCGAATTAGATTTTGGTGGTCAAAGATTAAGGTCACTTTGACCTTGCATCTCTCTCATTCTCATGAACTTGATGTCTCAAAAATTACAGCCGACTGCCAACCAGCATGTATATTCTGCAGCTGCGTGACAGGAAAAAACTGGTAGTCTGTAATCGTCATTCAAAAAGGGAGATCGGACACTAGTTAGCCAGTTAGCACATTAACAGAGCATATTTACCATGTGCCAGTGAACAGAAACACAAACCATCAGAGAACATTTGTGCTAAAGAGCTCAATGGCTAAAGAAAAATAATCTTACAATTTTATTTTGGTCTCACCGCCTCTTGACTTAGGCTCTGTGTTTACTTTCCTCACTTTCATTTCTCTTCTCGTGTGCTGAGCTGAACTGTCAATCACAGTGATTTCATTCACTGACAGGCTCTGCTGTCACCGATGCCCAAAAAAAAAGCCAACAGGGGCTGATGGTGTGGGACAGTACACTGACTAGGGCAACGGATGCTCACCGACGACCCAAAGCTGACTGAAGGTCAACCATCAGCTTGGTGTGTCAGGGCCTTAAGAACCAATGTACTGATAAGTTTCTCAATAAATATGTGATTCTTATCTTTTGTAATGTGGAACCTATTATTAGAAAACCACTGTTTTTGTGTTGGTCTAACCCTCCATATCACACACTCATAGTGTTTACTGGTTTGCTTCATCACATTCTTCTTTCACCTCACAATCCTTCACACATCCACCCATAGTTGCTTACTCTGTTGATGATCAGTGTTGTTGTTGTTGTTACCCTCTCCAGGTGGCTCATGATGTGGACGGCTCAGGTAACTACCTCCTCCTAACTCATCGCCATGTGGCTCACCTGCATCGCTTCTCTTCCTACCTGTGTCGGCAGCCGTGTCCCAAACCTCCCAGTTGGGTCCTGTACCATGAATTCACCATCTCCTGCGATAACTGCATCTGCATCGCGTCTGAAGTCCACCCTCAAATGTGAGTCACACTGTGAGACTGTGAATGTGCAAGTTACTGTGTAAAATTTTGCTGTGTAAAATCAACAGCAATGAATAGAGCCAGGCTAGCTATTTCCCCCTGCTTTCAGTCTTTATGCTAAGCTAAGCTAAGCCAAGCTAAGCTAATCACATCCTGGCTCCAGAAAAGCCAATAAATGTTTTTATGCCTCTGCCCTGGTGATAGCCGGGGCTGGATGCATTATATTTTTAGGTTGTCCATTCATATCCATGTACGTCCCATCCTTGTGAACACAATATCTCAAGAACACTGTAAGGGAATTTCTTCGAATTTGACACAAACTTTCACTTGGACTGGACTGACTCATTTTCAAGTGTTCCTATATTGAACATTGCAGCCTCTGATGATATTTTGATGTCTCTAAAAGGCCTATATAATCCATTCTCTCTTCCCTGATGTAGGCTTGTGGAGTTGGCCCCTCAGTACTACCTGGGAAACCTGCCATCAAGTGATGGCAAAGAGCTGCTCATGGAGCTTAGGCAAAGCCTGGGCCCCCCTTCATACGAGCAGGACGGAGTGTCAGATGAGCACAGCAGGACTCACAGAGATGCAGACGGGACGGGAGACACTCTCAATCAGTCCAACACTGAGCTCTGTGTTGTCCAATGAGACAGAAGAAGAGACGGAGCATCTCAGGAGACGACACTAAACACACAGCTGTCATTTTATTGTTTGATCTGAGATCTGGTACTTTGTGTGAATTAGTCTGGAATCTCATTTGAAGTTAAATCAATTTGATGTGTGATTTCAAATGGACTTTTACTGGAAAACACTTATGTACAGTAATGTATTGTTAATGTATCTTATACATTATGCAGTGGCTTTGGAAAATATTCAAACCTCTTCATTTTCTCCTTGTTGTGCTTTGTATTGACCTAATTTAAAATGTTATTTAGAATATGTTTTTATTTAATGAGGGATTTCTGCAATTCTGTTTCTGTAATTCTGCAAAACTAGACTAATAATAGTTTGTTATTACTTTCTCACTGTGGGGTGTATGTGCAGTGGCACACAATCATCCATTTTAAATTGTAGCACAACACAAATAAGGAAAAGTGGATGAAATAATATGTCAAACCCTTTAAGTGTCATTTCTGTTAATAAGATTTCAGCTAAAAGTAATATGCACTACTGCAGTGAGCAGAGACACTGTCAGTGCTTGACCTTTGACCTCTATGCAGAAGCCCATCTCAGGGCTCACTGTGACCTGATGCTGCAGCGGTGATGCACAGAGCTTCTATTTTCAACTTTTTGATACTGTTTGTATAATGTTTGGGTTTCCTGCTTAGATTCTGCCTTTTTCTCTCCAACTTTGTGTCAATGATAAAAAGTCCTTGTGTTACGTGGATTCTTATGGTCCTATCTAATAGGATACTTCTGTCAATACAGTACTTAAATACTTCAAATAAAATTGTGGTTTTCCATGTTTGAAATATCTCAGATGAGTGATTTTTTTTTTTTTACCATACAGCTGCCTCAAGTAGCTTCATTTTCTCTGCCTCAATGTCTGTTACAGTTAGAGGTGTCCCGTATTTAAGGAGCTCTAGACAACATTCAAAGCATTAATATAGCAGCAAACTAGGCTACTATTAGCTTCCTTTGTGTGTGTTGTGTTATTTGCTCTTCACTGTTTGTTCTTCTCTCTTAACTGCTCTTACATTGTAGTTAAAACAGGGCATACAGAAATAATGAGGCATACATTTATTGCCTTTAAAGGAGCTCTATAAGATATTCAGAGCCAATCTCTGATTCAGAGGTTGTGTACACAATGTTCTCTACATGGAAGTGACCAAGACTGTGGCTAGCTGCTAACAGTGCTAACAGCACAAACAGTGCCAGCATTAAAGCAATACTCTTTTCCACACTTTTTTGACCCATGCCAGAAACTTTCTTGTTTGGTGTACATAAAAAGTAAAATAACAAGTTAGCCATGCACTGAGTCTATAACATTTAACATTTACTGTAGTAGTAGCAGTAAGTAGCAGAACAAGCTGTAAATACAACACTGACATATCCACAACATTGACTTGGTCTCAACTGAGACAAATATCTGCCTCTATAGCTGCTAAATGCTCCAGTATGTTTGATTACTGTGTCTGTGTGCTGTTTGGTGCTGGGCACGTCGTGTGTGGACTGTTGATAAGAGCACAAGTTTCGAGGCTAGAAAACCAAAACAGTGTGAGACCCTTTTCACATTACACAGTTTTCAACCCATGGTTATTATCATGCATCTTAGGTGATCGGATCAAAAGTAAACAGTTCTAAGTACATGTGTGAATACATCCAATGTGTCCCCAGTGCTTCTTGAGATCCAGTCACTCAGACCATATTTTGAGATGGTCTGGGCTGCATATGGCCGCACTCTTTTAGCACTGTGTAGCCTACACTCAAATGTCTTGGGCCACACTGAAGCACATATACAGGTGACGTCATTGCTTATTCCCTTCCATGCTGGGTGAGAAAACCTTGCGTTGCTGCCATTATGCAAGTTAGTCACAGCAGTGAAGGACTGTCCCCAGAGCCAATGTCCTCCAGCGAATGGTCAGTTCAACGTCTGCCCAGTTAGCATGAGCTGACAATGGTCCCAATAACCTCATACAGCAGTTTAACGACTTTGTCATAATTTTTCTGACAATCACTTTGGTCGACTCTCTAACAACTCTGTTGTTAAACTGTCTTTTTTTTTCTCCCTATTTTTCCCAAGTTCCCCAGTGGGATCAGTAAAATATTTCTGATGTCTGATAACAGGTAGGTTACATTAGCTGTGTAGTGCTAACAGTTAGCCCTGTTACTGTGTGTGGTCACTCACCAACTGTTGCTGGCACAGAGCTCACACTCTCACAGCAGCAGTCACCAAAGGGCGGTGTGCGGCCTCAGTATCTCTACAATCCTGGCTACAGGCCTGGTTTTCAGGAGTGCTTATTGTGAGTGTGTGTGTGTGTGTGTGTGTAGGTTATCACAACACATAATTTATCTCCACTTTTATTGTAGATATCGAGCATGCAACATGTTAAATCTGCACATGTCGAATTTAACAGAACAGTGTATCATCAGACACACTGGTGAGCTTTAGAGGACATATACATTATATACTGTACATAAACAGTATAGAAGGTCAGATGGGATCATCAGTAATGATTGTCATTATGCTTGTGGAGGAGGCCTTTGATCATCTTAGGAGCTGCTGACTTTGGGCTGGCTCTTCAGAGCAGCATCCCTCATGGAGTGGTACGCATGCTCATTCTGCTTGAACATCTTCAGCTCCATTTCAGTCTGCATACGCATAGACTGAGGGCATGAAAAAGCAAAATCACTTAGAGAAGTGCACTGACAATATTAAGTAATGCTTACACATATTTAACATTTATGGCACTCAGTTTGTACAAACTATCATTTCAATATGTAGTTATTACGCTAATGTCACAGTCCGACAAATAAGAGTAAACTACTGCCCAATGTACCTCCAGGTCTCTGGTGATGGCGTGGTTGGGTCCATGGGTGATCATGAGGATGCCATAGGCCTTGCAGATCATTTCATGACCCACCTCTATCTGACCTGCATGCCAGTGGGTGACGCCTGCTCTCATGATGGCCATGCCCAACTGGGCATTGTTGGGGTGGTACAGCTTTCTGCAGAAACAGATCCCATGAGTGACCCAAACCAACACTGACTGTATTCTACTGGCAGGTATTGTGTGTATACAAAGCCTGATTTAACTTATTCGTCTGTGTCATGAGCTTCAGAGTTGTCCAAAAACTATTAATGCACATTCATGAGCCAGAAATACTCACTAGAGCAGCAAATGTGGAATAATCCGCTGCTGAAAATAGTCCCTCAAAAAATGCACTATCTCCTCCTGTCTGAGGCCTTTTTCATATATAGTTACCAATAACTTACTGAGATAACCTTTCAGGCAACAGTAATGATTTCACATTATTCACATTTCACATTATTCACACATGCACTACATTCAGGAACATTTCCATTTTGTGCCTTTTCACACATGCCATGGCAATGCTGGAATAAAGGGGTCAAGGCAGCTGATGCTAACTGCCAAAAATCTAAACAGAAGAAGAAGAAAATGGGGCAAGGCTGAGTACACAAGTATTATTTCTAGAAACATGGCGTGCAAGGAGCTGTTTTTGTCCACAACCGATTTTCTCATAATGTACATAATATCAGTAAGTAAGCACTGGCATAAATGCTAAATCAGAAACAAGTTTGGATTCAAATATGTCATTAGTGGAATCTTGTGGTTTGCTCGCTGCATGTGAAAGCATCTTTTGTCAGATAGACGTGTGGTTTTCCCTGCCATGTTACTGCTTTCATTCACATTTCATTCACAACACAGCTGTACCAGCATTTTCTCTTAAACATTATGAGGTCTTGAGGTGGGAAACTGGCAGTACACATTTCCCTTAATATCAATCCCTGCTCCCATTTACATATGGCCCCATACAGGACATGTTCTGGAACATTTCATGTGTGAAAGGGGTTTGAGTAACATTTGCTAAAACTGCAGTGGCCCACCTTACAGTAGCCAGAAATGATTGAGACTTAAGTTTGCCTGTTTTGACTCATTAACCTTTGCCTGTTTTTGGACTTGTTTTGGACTTCACCTACCAAATGTCACTCGAAGGGACACGTAGCGACCATAAATACACTCAAAATGACCACAAAGAAACATTAAATGACCACAAAAAGACTGCAATGAGATGCAAAACAGATGTTAAAGAGACACAAAAAGACTCACAACAACTACAAAAAGGGGTAAAACAACCATGAAGAGTCACAAAGGGATGTAAAAAAAAAAAAAAAACCACAAAGAGACACAATACAAGTACAAAGAAGGGCTAAACCACCAGAAAGTCTGTGTGATTTGCTCCTTTGCAGAAGAGTTGGTGAGGCCTTTTGCATGCCTGTGCCCAGGGGCCCATTGTCTCCTAATCCTCCCATGTCCTGAGCCATTACTTACCTGCAAAATGTCACTCAAAGGGACATATACCAACCATGGCGACACTCAAAATGACCACAAAGAAACAGTAAATGATAAATAAAGAGACACATAAAGACTACAAAGAGATGCAGAACAGATGTTAAGGAGATACAAAAATACTCTCAAGGACTACGAAAAGGGGTAAAACAACCACAAAGAGTCACAAAGGGACTACAAAGGGATGCAAAAAATCTACAGAGACACAAAACAACTACAAAGAGAAGCTAAACCACCAGTCTGTGTATCTTGCATCATTGTTAGACAGGTGTTGGGGCCTTTTGCAGGGGCCCATTGTCTCATACTCCACCCATGTCCTCAGCCATTATGTTACCATATATATTAATCTTTGCACCTCTTGTCTGCAGTTTTGCTATTTTTAATGGTGATTTAATTTTACCTTTTTTAAAAATATATTTTATTGTAAATCTTTGAATTGCCCTGGTGTATGAACTGTGCTATACAAATAAAGCTGCCTTGCCGTGCCTAGACATTATGTTGTGAGTAATTTTTATAGATCTACATTGTTAGTAAGCTAAATCTACCAGCCACATTTTTTTGACAAAAAAGAAATACAGTATAACAGAACCATAACCTGTTATCTCTGGATTTGTTTGACCAATTCAGTAAGTAGTCTGCTTTACAGTTTCTGTTAATTTTTGAATCAATGTGATGAAGGATATTTATTTTACAAATATTTAATGAGATAGATTAGACAAGAAGAAACATTCTTGTTATGGTATCCATTAATAGTTTTTAAGCAGAAAAATGTACTTTGTCACGATATATCAATATTGTGACTAAATTACAGTCTCACGTTTTCATGTAAAACATAGTATATGTACATACTATATGATGCATTGTCAATTTCATCTAACCATTAGTATTTGGAGCAATTAGAGCACCAGCACAATTTAAACAAATTTAAATGACTTGTTGGGACTTGTTGTGCTGGGGTGTGATTGCATCAAGGTCTCTCCTACCTAACTGTGATGTTTTAAAGGTTGTGAAGGTTTCATTGCTTATTTATGGGGAAATGGAGAGTTTCTATGCAAATACATATGGAACATGGGGAGTTTGTACATGAATCTTGATAATAATTTCACTTATATCTGCTCTGTTCTCAGACAGGACACCAGGTGTCTTCAGTGTAATCCTGCTGGGGAGTTACTGTATCTCTCCAACACAAAGTGCTCTGTCAGCACTCACGTGTATCCCTCCACCATCTTGCGAGCGCAGCCTGCAGCCTCAGGGAAGGACCGCATGTATGAGAGCACCTCACTGGCAACGCTGAGCACACGTAGCTTATACAGGTTAGTACCAGCCAAGACGTTCTCCTGCTTCTCCAGACACTCACGACACAACTTCACTACCTGAGAGAGGACAGACAGAACACAGTGCAGGGGAAAGACAAGAAGAGAGGGACACATTAGTGCAAGACCAGAAGAGAGATGCAGATAAGCTGAAAGCAGAGTTGTGTACCTCCTGATAATCCTTCTCCACACGGGCCCTCTCGATTTTCTCCAGACACTCCTTACTGAAGGCAGTCACCTCTTTCACCTTATCAGCAGAGGGCTGAGAGGGAGACACAATGACAACACAGCTAACAGGAATATATGTTATATGTTCTCATATGTCACCATAAGAGTCAAGCAAACAAATAAAAAAGATTCTGTGATTTGTGAGACTGTAATCATTTGTAAACCCAACTTTGTTCCCCTCGCTCTCTGCAGCAGCCATCATCAGGTCATCCTTGATGTGCTGGCTGCAGTGTTCACAGGCGCACTCGAAGTGGAAACGCTCCTTCAGTTTCTTCTGGCGGTCAGCAGACAGATTGAGAAAGTCGACGTAGCTGACGGTCAGCTCCTGCCCCTCTGAGATTTTACCTAGAGCTCTCAGCTCGATCCTGGAACAGAGGAGGACAGGACGGGTTCTTGTTTTCTTGATCTAATGATGCATGTTTTACAGTACCCCTCTGCACTGGATGCAACAAATCCAGATATTGTCATGTCAGCTTGGACTCTCAGAATGAAGAAATATAATAATAGTAGGAAGAAATAATATCAAATCGGATTTGTTAATATCATAACATAACATGTAATACATACCTCCTCTGAGAGTGGAGAGCAGAGCTCAACGCTGACTGGCTGCAAAAGGAAGAAAGAGTCAGTTCTTTTAACCTTTTATATGAGTTACACATCAACAAGTCATTATGGTCCACAAAATCTCCTTTTGTTATTATATGTTATGTTATGTTCACATACTATTCCTAAATGAAGTTTTATACTTCATTCCTTCATATTTAGATCATTACAGTCATCTGTCACTGTGATTTTACAGGAGCTGTAGTTTGGATACCTACTTGCCATGGTTGAGGATGATGGTGCAGTTGGGCCAACAGTCATGGTTGACCAGACAAAGGTTTGGGAAAAGACCCACACCGACAGCCTGCAGGCCTCTCTGGTCACTCATTGTGAATGCATTACACTTGATCTACAGAGACAGACAGAGAGAGTAGGGAGGGAAAGGATTATAGGAGAGACCAAACACCCAGGTTTGTTTTTCAAGCTGTCTTTCCTAATGTAGTTTACAAATATAACTTATAAAGCACTGGTGAACTCTAATTCATAGTAAGACATTCATTCTTACAATGCCAAAGAGGTGCGAAATGTAGTCGACAGAGTGCTGCTTTCTTCCATAAGACCAGTACTCCAGGAAGCTTTGCACGTCTGTGTTGAGCTGCTTGAGTTCTTCTTCAGGTAGATCAGCTACGTGGTCCTCCAGCTTGTCCACTGAGATCAGCTGAGTGTCTGACACAATGCCTGTGTCCTTGTGTATACGCCACAGCACACGAGCAGCCAGACTGGGCAGGGGAATTATGGGTAGGGGAGAGAGACATCAACGTCACATTCAGAGTCAGATATTAACCAGATATTACGCAAGCACAATTCCGTGTAATCAATCAACACCTCCATACATCCTCTAATAATAGATCTCATTGATTGATCGACTGATTAAATTATTCATTTATTTGTTCATTCAGTCATTCCATGTATAAGACTGGGGACAGGGTCCTGCACCGGGTTGGGTACCTGTGAGTGTATGTACATATATATATGTGTGTATATATATATATATATATATATACAGTACAGGCCAAAAGTTTGGACACACCTTCTCATTCAATGCATTTTCTTTATTTTCATGACTATTTACATTGTAGATTCTCACTGAAGGCATCAAAACTATGAATGAACACATGTGGAGTTATGTACTTAACAAAAAAGGTGAAATAACTGAAAACATGTTTTATATTCTAGTTTCTTCAAAATAGCCACCCTTTGCTCTGATTACTGCTTTGCACACTCTTGGCATTCTCTCCATGAGCTTCAAGAGGTAGTCACCTGAAATGGTTTCCACTTCACAGGTGTGCCTTATCAGGGTTAATTAGTGGAATTTCTTGCTTTATCAATGGGGTTGGGACCATCAGTTGTGTTGTGCAGAAGTCAGGTTAATACACAGCCGACAGCCCTATTGGACAACTGTTAAAATTCATATTATGGCAAGAACCAATCAGCTAACTAAAGAAAAACGAGTGGCCATCATTACTTTAAGAAATGAAGGTCAGTCAGTCCGGAAAATTGCAAAAATTTTAAATGTGTCCCCAAATGGAGTCGCAAAAACCATCAACGCTACAACGAAACTGGCACACATGAGGACTGACCCAGGAAAGGAAGACCAAGAGTCACCTCTGCTTCTGAAGATAAGTTCATCCGAGTCACCAGCCTCAGAAATCGCAAGTTAACAGCAGCTCAGATCAGAGACCAGATGAATGCCACACAGAGTTCTAGCAGCAGACCCATCTCTAGAACAACTGTTAAGAGGAGACTGCGCGAATCAGGCCTTCATGGTCAAATAGCTGCTAGGAAACCACTGCTAAGGAGAGGCAACAAGCAGAAGAGATTTGTTTGGGCCAAGAAACACAAGGAATGGACATTAGACCAGTGGAAATCTGTGCTTTGGTCTGATGAGTCCAAATTTGAGATCTTTGGTTCCAACCGCCGTGTCTTTGTGAGACGCAGAAAAGGTGAATGGATGGATTCCACATGCCTGGTTCCCACTGTGAAGCATGGAGGAGGAGGTGTGATGGTGTGGGGATGTTTTGCTGGTGACACTGTTGGGGATTTATTTAAAATTGAAGGCACACTGAACCAGCATGGCTACCACAGCATCCTGCAGCGACATGCCATCCCATCCGGTTTGCGTTTAGTTGGACGATCATTTATTTTTCAACAGGACAATGACCCCAAACACACCTCCAGGCTGTGTAAGGGCTATTTGACCAAGAAGGAGAGTGATGGAGTGCTGCGGCAGATGACCTGGCCTCCACAGTCACTGGACCTGAACCCAATCGAGATGGTTTGGGGTGAGCTGGACCGCAGAGTGAAGGCAAAGGGGCCAACAAGTACTAAACACCTCTGGGAACTCCTTCAAGACTGTTGGAAAACCATTTCAGGTGACTACCTCTTGAAGCTCATGGAGAGAATGCCAAGAGTGTGCAAAGCAGTAATCAGAGCAAAGGGTGGCTATTTTGAAGAAACTAGAATATAAAACATGTTTTCAGTTATTTCACCTTTTTTTGTTAAGTACATAACTCCACATGTGTTCATTCATAGTTTTGATGCCTTCAGTGAGAATCTACAATGTAAATAGTCATGAAAATAAAGAAAACGCATTGAATGAGGTGTGTCCAAACTTTTGGCCTGTACTGTATATATATATATATATATATATATATATACATATACATAGAGAGAGAGAGAGAGAGAGAAATTCATGGGTAAAAATGAACTACATGTTGACGGGCAGTGGGGGGAACAAAAATATATATTTTATTTTTCAGAATAAAACAAATGAAAAAGATGTGCACTATATGTGTAATACTTTGACATCTCAATCACTATTATCAAGCCGCAATTTATTTTATTTTAAAAGTCAGTGACACAAGTTGAATCTTGTACCGTCACATTCGTCACCAATATTGAGGACTCCAGCAATGAAACTTTGCAGCTGGGGGATGAGTTGGCAGCCTACATCAAGTTCAAGACACTCATGGAGGATCCTTTTGGGATGGTGGAAGGAGCATGCTAAAATGTTTCCTAACCTGGCAGTGATTAAATGTTTTCGCCATCCTGACAACGAGCGCAGCCAGTAAAGGAGACTTTTCCTCTACTGGATTTGTAATTCAAGAACAGAGAACCCAGCTTAATGTGAATGACTGTAGCCTGTGTGTGTTTAATTACAGGTGCGGGTCAGGTCGCGGGACTTATATTAACTGGTGCGGGCGGGTGCGGATTTGACTTAGATATAATGACAGGTAACGGGTTGATTCTGGTACTGGGCAGGTGCGGGTTTTCAAAAATGGAGCCGTGCAGGACTCTACCTGGGGATAACATGTTAAAGGTTCAGTGTGTAAGATTTAGGGGGATATTGTGGCATCTAGTGGTGAGAATTGCAGATTGCAACCATCTGAAACTTTGCCTGGTTATAATTTCTTCAGTGTTCATCGTTCAGGAGGTTTTTACCTGGAGTCCAGGAATTATCTGCAGAGGTCTCTTCCTCTCCAAAACAAACATGGGGTTTTCCACTAAAATCACTGAATAAAGCAGTTTCACGTTACAAATCTGTGTTTTTCTGACACTGCTTGTTGCAGATGGGCTCTTAACTACAATGGCCAATGTGAAAACACGAATGGCCCTATATAGAACCAGTGTTTGGTTTGTTCTGGGCTACTGTAGAAACATGGCAGTGCAACATGACAATATCCGAAGACAAGGACCCGCTCCCTATGTAGATATAAATGGCACACTCTCAGCTGATGAAAACACAACAATTCTTATTGTCAGGCGATTAAACACTGAAAAAAAAAAACTTATTACACTATATCCCCCTAAATCCTACTCACTGGACCTTTAACGTAAAGATAAGATGCAGACAATATGCCTAATAGACAACACACAGAAGTTCAGCAGATTTACATAGGAAAAAGGAAAAATAAATGTCCTCAAAATTCTCATAAAAATCATCACAGATTAATATAACCACCCATACTGAATATAAAAAATATATTATTCAGTGATTTGAGGAGCCAGTCTGTCACCTTACACCAAACATCAGCCAAGGATCAGATCAGTTCTCCTGACCTCATAATCAGAGGGAAGCTGTTCTTCAGTAGGGCGGTGGTGTAACAAGATCACAAGTCTAAAGCCCCGCTAATGGCCCCCAGACAGGCTGCAGTGTTCATTACACCCCAGGGTGCTACAAAATGTTTGAATAGACCAAATAACATGCTGACACATTTTCTATTGTAGGGCAACAAACATGCTTATCAAAGACGTGTATCAACTCGTCAAGATACACCACTGTCCTATTTCCCAACCTTAACACAGTTTTATCACATTGTGTCCTCGGATCAGACCAGTCCAGCCACTGTGCCTTGACTACACTTTCTGTCTGTATGAAGTGCCTGGTGTGTACTTTTGCCATTCATTAAAACTTGTCAAATGACAATCTGTCAACTAGATTGTTTTAATGCCCCCCCCCCCAATTAAGACACAATTAATAATTTTTGAACAATGCAATAGTATTTATTGAAAGCACAATGTAAGCAGTGCTCATTATAATCCCGCAATAATGTACTATTTAAATCTTAAAAGATTTAGTCCCCTCTCCCATTCCTAGTAGTGGTATATCCCACACTCTTTCCAACAGGTGGGGCTAGCAGCCGTTAGTAGCTACTAGGCAGCAGTAGCAGCGTGTGGCTGGACCCGGCTGCCCACATTGCGCATCGCGGGGTAAAATGTACACTCACACAGACATAGTTTAACTCACACAAGTTACAACCCATCCCATTTACTGTTACAACAAACCCCAGGCCCCGGCTGATAATATAAACTGTCTGCAACATTTCTCCTGCACTGTTCAAAAGCCTACTCAATTAACGAGTGCTGCTAAGCTAAAAGCTAATGATTAAGCTCAGAGTTTAGTGACAGTCAGAGAGGACAGAAGAGAAAGAAGAGGGAGAGGACAGGACAAGAGCAGTCAGTGGCGGAGCGGCTCGTAGCTAATGGGTACCTGTCTGTAGGCTCTCCACCTGTCATATAAGTATTTGATTTCAGTCATTATGTTTTAAATCTGGACATGTGCAGGTGGACTCAGCCAGTGCTAAGAAAGGTCCTATGCCTGCCTGTTGGAGAGATAGAGAGAAGATTAAAGCATCAAATTGCGGTAAAAGATGCTGTATAAAAGACAGGCTACAACTTTTTTTCCTTGTCCCCCCCTGGAATTATTCTCTAAAATTTTACTGTTTATTGTCCCCCCCAACTATGAAATGGGATTTTCGCCCCTGATTAAAGGAACGGCAATGATGTCATTAAAATCAAAATGGGTAATCCTCTGATGATCATGAATGTGTGCTTTGTACATTCCATGGCAGTCTGACCATAAAATTTGTATGCTTCTAGGTATAACACCAGGTTCACACTGGATGTGGAAGAGCCACAAAATGCACTGATTTCCTGTGAAGCACTGCCTGCTTGCTTTCGATGCCCACGTTAAGCAGCAGGGTAGTTCACACTGGATGCAGCACGGTGCCAAGTGCTTGCAATCTACAGCGATAGTTTGGATGTCTGGTCTATTTTTTGCTCAAACCATGAACCACTGAATCTGGCAAGAAAACACACTGAAAATGTGTTGTAAACAATATTAAGTGTATAATAAATACACACACACACACACACACACACACACACACACACACACACACAGGCAGACAGAGACAGAGCTCTACATGTGATTTAAACAGAATCACTTGCTGTGCAGCTTGGAGAAATGGCTTCTGGTGTGAACCGACAGGTGAATGCTGACGGGCAGCTGTGCAGCAAGGAACAAATCAGTGTGCTTCCGTGTCCAGTATAAACCCAGCATAAGAGGACATTTTGGCTTGTTGACATTTTGTCAACAACAAGACTAAGAGCCAGGCTGGCAGCTCTGTGAGGTTTTACTTAGGCACATTGCTGCTTTGAACTAAATGCTAATATGCTCTCAATAACAATGTAAAGCTGCTAATGTTAAGCGTAATGCTTACGATGATCACCGTCTTAGTTTAGTGTGTAAGAGTGCCAAAATTAGATAATTAGCACTAAACACAAAGTACAGTAGTGTTTAGTTTTGCAGGTATTACATCATAAACCAATGTATTTGGCAAAAGGACATTTTAACCTAATGATGATGCCAACTAAAAACATATTCACTTATTTAGGGAGAGATATGTGTGTGTGTGTGTACCAAATGTAATTGCAATCAATGAATCTGTTTTTATGTCTGGAACCTCCTGTCTATGATGGGCTTAAGATGTGCCCCTGTTGAAGAGCTCAGATTAATCTGGTCCTGTTTGATTTGGTGGTGGGAACCTCTTGCGACTGCATGCCTTTGCTGACAGTGACCCCAGCAGGATTTGAATGCTGGACCTTCTGCATGGAAGATGAGTGCTCTAACCACTACACTAGGGAGGCCCCAAATGTTATGGCAATCAATAGTTTGTTAAAACATTTCACTCAATACCACAATGTCAACCTTGTGGTGTTGTTACAGGAAAAGTCAAGGGATCATCAAATTCAGTAGGATTCATCCTCTGGATACTATGACTGCCTGTACAAAATTTAATAGCAATGCATTCTGTAGTTGAGATATTTCAGTTTGTTGAGATATTTCACTACAGTGGTGGACTGATGGACCGAAAAGGTCATATAAACATTAGAATTCATCCTCTGGGGAACATGCATATCCTCGACAAATATCATGGAAATCCAGTTCTCAGTATCTGAGACACCTTGTCATGGACCAAAGTGTTGATCATGGGGAAAATTTGGCCTGATGGTTTAAGAGGACCAATCAGGATGGGTCGCTAAAAACACAGAAAATTTCTGGGCACCATGAACATCCATATCAAATTCCGTACATGAGATATCTTGTTGACCAACTGACCAGATAGCAAAAAAACATTATTTAATGTGGTCTGCCTTTTTCTGTTCTGAGCTGTACAGGCTATTGTCCCAATCTCCTGAAGTCACCACTTGCAAATATTTGCAGCTGATGACCTTATGACATTATTTTGCATAGACTAACTTTAAGTAAGTTCCAAACATAGATGTTAAACCACTAAGCAGAACAGGCTTGAAAAAAGTAATTCAGTATCAGAGTTGAGACAAGGAGAACACCGTATTCTGCAAAATAGGACCTTCAGTTTGTATGATATCTTTTGTTGGAGTAATATGTTCCCCAGAAAGTGACTATTTGTCATACATAGGTACTGTCTGGGTCAGGCACGTGCCCAGATAGACCCGAACATTGGAAGATTGGTTGTTTTATTATTTCATTCATTCAGAGAACACAGTTTTCATACTGCACTGTATACCTCAGGGTGCTGGCAAAATAGACTTCATGTGAGCAAAAAAAAAAAAAAAGAAAAAAATAAGTGGAGGGAATGCCATTTTTTTCACTTGAGCATCTGCCCTGCAAAATGGCTGTGCATGAAACTGGTCTGGGGTACAACTTTCATTTCATCGGCCTCCTGCAGCCCCCTCTCAGCTCCATGCAGAGTGGACTCAGTTTTCCTTACCGAACATTCTCGCTGGGTGCTTTGCCGATCTTCTTGATGGCTCCACATTCCTGCTTGTGTTCATCCCAGCATGCAGTCTGGCAGGTGCGGTCGCAGTACTGGGCAAACTTACACTGGGCACAGCGGTGCAGTTTGACCTGGTGCCGGAAACAGCTGTGGCACACTTGAGTGGCCAAACTGAGAGGGAAACACAAGACAAAACACAGAGATGTTACATCTGCACATAAAAAAAAAAAACATCTTTCACTGATGTGTCAAAACCTGCATTGAGAGGTCCCAGTGAAGATTTGGACCAAAGAAAACTAAAGGGATTGGAGGGGAAAAAGAGCTAAAGTTAGACTGTTCAGCTTCCTCTAAAGAGAACAGTCATTCTCTGAGTGCCAGTTAATAAACAAACAATCATATTTATCAGATACAATATATAAATAAAGCAAATCCAGTTGCAGCAGCCCAAAAGTGCAGGTGTGAGCAGAGGTGCTTCTAGGATTTGAGGACATTCGGGGCTTAGCCTGACCTTGGTTGGGGGGATCCACTTTCTTTGAAAAATAATCTGTTGCTATTTTTATGCACTCTGGCATCTTATTTACATTCAATATACAAAAAAATCCCACATGCCATCCCACATGCCACACAGCACCTTATCGAGGGCCAGATTTGGCCTGCTGGCCATAATTTGACTATCACTGCCTGGTATGTTTTTGTTAAAACTCATATTTACAGTAAGAACTGTCTTCTTTATCTTGCTTTTTGACAGTGGGCTTTGTGATCCTGCTGTTGTTTTGCATGTCAGAAACAACACATGAGCATCTCTGAGCTCTTTTTGCTATTGACTCGTCGCTCTTCCAGCTCACTTTCCTCATGTTTAAGTCTGAGTTCCATCTCTTTGCTCTTTTAACATTTGTAGTAGATGCAGTATCATATTTGGATCCTGTTACAATTGATGCAGTTACGTAACTGGCTCCAAGTCGAGAAGAGAAGTGGATGATGTTAATATTTTATTATGAGCTATGCTCCATGACATGTCTTGACTAAACTCTGAAATGTTCTGGTACACAGATAATCAATAATTGGAATGTTTGTTCAGTTGTTCAAGATTGCAAACTGTCACAGCCTCTGTGTCATACTCCTCTCGCTCCTAGCATGGAACATCTCCCCCCCTCCACCTCTCTCTGTCTTTGCCTCCTATTGCAGGAGTGGGATCAGGTGTGCAGGTGTAGGGCAGCAGCTGCAATCCATTTCCAACCTTCTCTGTTTCAAATACAGGGCTTCAACTTCAACTTCTTTCTTTTTTTCCTCTCCCTTTTTAAAGCTACAAATATTCATCAGGCCTTTCCGTAACCGGAAACTTGCCACTCCAACTTCGTTGTAGAGTGTAACTCCGTTTACAGTCACCTTCATAGCTGAATGAAGCACCCTCCATCAAGGTGTAGGGGATAAACACAGCAGCAAGCTTTGGGACAAACTTCCCTCTCTGCGGCAGAGAGAGAAACTGTCATAACTTTTTGTAACCATGGAGAAAAATAAAGTTTAATCCAACTTTATGTTCTTTATATGTATTTGTGGCACTTATATTTAATTTGTATGTGCTGCTTTTGTTTACCTTAATTTTTGTATATTGTATTTTTATAATTAAAAGAAATAAATACATACACACACACACACACACACACACACATATATATATATGTATGTGTGTGTGTGTGTGTGTGTGTATGTGTGTATTTATATAAAATAAACAAATAAATAGAAAAATAACTTACTCCTAAGCTTCTTTGGTGGCTTTCCTTTTCTTTTTTTGTGTAAATATCTTTTCACTGATGTTTATAAGTTGCTTGTTTTTTGTAACACTTTTTGTAAATATACAGCACTATAATCAAATGAACACAATGGTTTCCAAGAGACTAGAGAAGGATATATTTTATCCTAAATACAATGTAATCTTTAAGAAGTTAACTGTATGAAAGGAGGCCTATAAATGTCTATCTTAGTTTGAGCAGGTTACGTTTGTAAGGATCGTCGCAGAACTTTAGGCTATTTGTACGGAGCATCTTGCATGACAAACACAATATGGCATTGCACATGGTCAGTAAGTCTACATCAATGTCGGCTCACTGTCGGAGGGTTTGAGAGGCCATTTACACGTACACGGTGATTTTGATAAACGGAGACATCTTCCTTCGTTTGTGCCCTTCGTTTACACGCAAACGGAGATTTCTCCTCTGAAAACGAGTCTTTCTAAAAACTCCGGCCAGAGTGGAGATTTTGGAAAACTCCGGTTGCGCGTTTGCATGTAAACTGAGATAAACGGAGATAAATGGAGTTATAGGCAGCCGACGTCACAGTATGCGCCGGAACTTGCGCCTGTGTAAAAAGGCGCAAGTGACTGAGTGACCTGAGTGACTGGCAGAAAATGCATGACCCTCCCTTCACCATAAATTAGGCCTCCATTGATGTTTGAAAGTTAAAGTTAAAAGGTGTCTTGAAAAGAAAACTTGGTTTTTCACTCTTGCCGTGCATGCTGGTAAGTTCATACAAATGGCTTATTTTTGGCCAAACTTGAAATGAGACATAGATTAAAGTGATTTTGATGAAATATCACTATTTTAAGCTGTTTTTTTCTGACAGAAGTGTTTGTCACACATGATGTGTCCAAAGACCATGGGAAATTTGAAAAATACAATGATATTTTTGTTTTTTATGGTTTCTGGCTATGATAAGTGATGTATTTTGACAATATTTAAAGAAAACATACATGTTTTCTTGAACATAAATATAAAATACAGCCATTTAAATTTGTATGCCCCTCTCCTAAGCCAAAATAAAAAACATAAATACCTCCCCAACACTTAAGAAATTATTTGAAATGCCTCCCCCTTTTTGCACCACACCCTCCCTCCTCCTAAATAATGAACAGTCCCTTACTCTGATTTCTTTTGCACTGTATGGTTTATGGTTTTATGTCAGTTATTTATGAATCTTATTGTAAACAATGTCAGTCTGAATATTTATGAATGTTGCTTCTCTATTTTTGGACATTTTTATTGTTTGAAAACTGGTTCTGACTTCTATGAATCTGTGGTGTCTTAAGCATAGTTGTATACGTAACACAATAAGCTTTCACTTTTTCATTCATTTAGTGCATACTATGTTCTATATACCATATCTATTTAAACTTAAACTTAAATATACAGTATGCATGAATAAGACACATACACATGCACATACCTTGTGCATGAATATCATAAATAAAATGTCACAGTTCTGTCAGTTTGTTTTAAGTTAAGAAAAGAGTAAAGAAAAGTAAATCTAGATTTGCAAACATGTTTACACAGAACCTTTCTACCCTTATTGTTTGAGCTGTTTGGATGACGACACGCTGCACTGTGCACTGTGTGAGTGAACACACAGGTCTCAGCTGACAGCAGCATGTGTCTGTGTGTGCAAACAGTTTATTCAGCAGAGTCCAAAGGGACAGGGAACAGACTTGTTAATGCTCCTGATGATTGTTGGAACGCAGCGAAGCCCTGTGCAGCTTCACACACAAACATGCACACACACACACACACACACACACACACACACACACACACACACACACATACACACACACAGTGGCTCTGACTCACTTGCAGCTGTTTTGTCACTGTAGTTTTGGACAGCTCCTGTCTTACATTAGGCAGATCCATTAGTGCATGCCTACTATGTTGGATACCCTCAGTGAGCCAACATCCTGCTGCTAAGCTCTTATATGGCTCAAACACTATGCTACCAGACCTGTGCATGGCATCCCAGCACATAGACAAACCAGGCTGCAGTCAGCTTTAATACCAACCAACTATTTACAGATAAGTGCTGAACACTGTGTGCACTGTATGCATATTGCAGAATGCAATAACTGCATTATTGGCATTACTTGCTCCAGCTTTGAAAAAGAAATGCAAGCCTGTTGAAGACATGAATGCAGCTGGACACCAATGTTGTTACACATTCATATTTGGTTGAATGAAGGTTTTGATGTCAGGTGACAAAATATAACCTCAGGACAACATCTAATGCCAAAGTCAATTCGACATAGAATGCTGAAGACAGATTATATTTTGTAGGTTTTAAGTTGTGTTGTTAAGTGAGCAAAATCCAACATCTTCAAAACATCTCATGGCAAAGTCATCTTGACGTAGAATAATGACATTTAGTTGTAAGGTATGAAGAACAAAACCCAACATCTGCAAAACATCCATGTCAACATCCACATTAGGTGAAATTCTATCGTAGGTAGACATTTAAAATGCCATCAACCTGATTTTCATTCCAACCAAAATTTAATGTCTGTCCAGTGTAAGAGCCCACCGTCTTTCACCGCCCACCTGTAACTCAGCTTGTCAAATTGTCGGTGGCTGGTTTTAGAACTTAAAGCTTGTCACCTGTTTCAGCAGTCAATCGGCTTGTAGTGAAGTCCACTGGTCAAGTTAAAATGGCCACAGATGGAGTGTTCACTTGCTGCAGCAGGTGCTCCGTCCCCGCCCAGCACTCTGTTTCTGTGCTAACACTGTATGCACTTACGCCCCCTCTACACACACATTCTCACTGACTGATTAATTGGTGCTGATTACTGATATTATTGCTGCGTATTTATTATGAATACAATCCATCTGATGCTCGTTTTGTTTCTGTTTCATCACTATTACAAATGCAACTGTAGCCAGTATCTCACTATCACTATCCTCATTCATATTTTAAGAAACTACAAATAATATTCAGCCACAAAATAAGCCTGAGAAGCTGTAAATCAGCATGGAAGTACACAGTGCTGCATGGAGATGAGACACTGTTTCATCTAGTTGTAAAGGTGTGAACCAGCATGTTTTTAGAACATTGCAGAATGGCACATTGCAAGTAGTATGCTGTTTCAACTCGTTTCAACTGGGATCTTTGGTCTGAACTGGCTTTACTCTTATCAAAAAGATTTTCAGTGTCATGGTTTAATATTTAGCAGATTTTGACAATGTGTAAAAGTCTGTGCAATTTCAGAATGAGACTTCTCCTGCAGCAAGCAAGCAAACAACAGTCTTCTTTCTGTAATGTTATAAGACACTAATAATAACAATCTGAGCCTGTCAGTGGCAAAAAACTAAATAAATGGGGCACACCTGCCCAAGTGGTTACACTGCAGCCTGTGTCACTGCTACTGGATGCAGTACTATCTCTTAAAACTGGACCAACTTCCAAAATTGTTGTTCCCCAAAGTAACTTAGACACAAAAGCACGAGGAAATATGGTCCAGGTTGAAAAATACTGAAGTTCCCCTTGTAGGTTTTAAAGCAAATAATTCAAAAACTCACTAAGATAGCTGCAGCTTACTCAGAACACTACTGCTAGGGTCCTCACTGAGACCAAGGAAGACCACACCAGCCCAGTTCTCAGATCTTTACACTGACTTCCTGTATGTTCAAATTTATTTTAAAACACCACTTTTGGCTTGAAAGCACTGAATGGAGCCAACATATATTTCTCATGTGCACTTGCATTATAAACCTACCAGAGATCTAAGGTCAGCAGACTGTCCTAAGAGTCAAAACTAAACATGGAGAAGCAGCATTCAGTTTCCATACACCACATATCTGGAACAAACTGCCACAATACCTGCCTTATGTCTTATGCCAAACACTACAAATTTTGGCAGCTGTAACACAGTATTAAAAGTGTAGCATGTAGCATATGAACAATAATAAAAATAGAGGTATTAGCAGTGTCTCAAAGCACATACAGACTCAATACTGCATGTCAGCATCATTTTTTTGACACTAACATTTTTAACCCTCGGGTTCAGGCAACATGTGAAGTCACTGGAATCTCTTAATTTAATCTGAGAGATTGCAAAATGTCATAATCCTTTTGTGGTAGAGCCTCCTTGCTCTTGAAAACTGAATCCAAAAGTATGTCATGCTCAAGCTCTCATGACACCTTGCCAGCTTTTGCACTGCTGGTGTCATGAGAATTTGGGCATCTAGAAATGAGGCCACAGCCCGGAGAAGCCTGACTGTCCACAACACACCTGCAGTGTGTCACCCAGATCTGCAAAGACACGCTCAGTGAGAAAAGGTCAGTCCTCATACCTGTCTGTCTTGTCTAAAAACCACAATTGGGAGCCTCGTACCTGTCGAAGACCACAGCAGAGAAACCGGCCTCGGCGAAGACCACTTCCCCGGCATTGAGCTCTTTGGTGGCCCTCAGGCCTCGACCTTTCTTCCCAGCATCAAACAGCTCAGCACTCTCCATATTCCCCACAGTCATTGTAGTGGCTAAACAAAACACAGAGGAGACAAAGAGGAGGGAGAAAGCAGCTGAGGGTGGGACTGGCTGAGGGATAAGGGACTAAACAAGCTGCAGGGAGTGGAGAGTTCTCATGAAATTCTCAGGAGCACTTGCCCCCACTCTCCTTAGCCCGACCCCTGTAACAGCCAAAAATAAATTCACCCCCTCTAGGGGTTGTACCACCTCCCCAGAGTGGGGAGGGGGGTGAGCAGTGGGAAATGAGTGGAGCTGGGGGAGGTAGTAGAGGTAGAGGTAGTCTGTGGGTGTCGTCCCCTTGTTTGGGTTGGTCCCTCCCATGGTATTTTGGTCCGGGGCAGCTGTGGCTGTCTGTCAGAGGCACATGACAGGAAACGGAGCTGCTCACATTCAGTGGCAGCCTCTTTGCTGTATCTTTTATAAAAAATACTTCACACAGTACAGTGGAGGTCACACCCCGTTACTTTTACCTAGTAAGCCTTTATAGCCACATTAAGTGATTTTTTTTAAATTTTATTTGGTCACTATAGGGAGTGGCAGGACAAGTTGTAAACACAACACTGACACACCATCACCCTATAAAGTTGATATGGTTTTTAGTGAGCACTTCTCATTTTCCAAGATAATCCATCCACCTGACAGGTGTGGCATATCAAGATGCTGATTAAACAGCATCATTACTGCACAGGTGTACCCTTGGATGGTCACAGTAAAAGGACACTCTAAAATGTGCAGTTTGATCACACAATACAACATCACAGATGTCAAATGTCCACCAGAGCTCTTGCCCCTGAACTAAATGTTCATTTCATTACCATAAGATGTCTTCGATGTCATTTTCCTGAAATTGGCAGTCCATCCAACCATCCATCCTCACAACCACACAAGTTGGTTACGACAAACTGCTGTTAGGTCAAGACCTTGGTAAGGATGATGACCATGCAAATGAGTTTCCTTGAAATGGTTTATGATGGTTTGTGCTGAAAGCTGTTTAGGTTGCTGGTCATAGAGGATTTTGCAGGTGAAGGCACAGGTCATGAGCTGGTGTGCAAAATATGGTCTGTCATTGTGCGGCCAGTCGGATGTATTGCCAACTTCAAAGAAACAGCATTAGAAATGGCTTGTGGTTATGGAATGAACATTCACTTTATGGGCAACAGTTCTGGTGAACTAAATGTCAGAAACTGTCTCAGAGAAGCTCATCAGCACACTCGTCGTCCACACCAGGGTCTTCATCTGACAGCAGTTTGTCATTGTAGCAGACTTGTGTGGTTGTGAGGCTGCTTGGATGTACTGTCAAATTCAGGGAAACAACACTGAAGACGTCTTATGGTAGTAAAATGAACATTCAGTTGAGGGGAAACAGCTCTGATGGACATTCCTGCAGTCAGCATGCCAATGGCACAAAACTCAAAACTCTCAACATCTGTGTCATTGTGCTGTGTGATCAAACTGCACATTGTATTGCCCTTGTATTGTGACCATCCAAAGGCACACCTGTGTAGTAATATACTGTTCGATCAGCATCCTGATATGCCACACCTGTCAGGATTATCTTGGAAAAAGAAAGGTGCTCACTAACATGGATTTTAACAAATTTGGGACAAAATTTGTGAGAAATACATCTCTATAGTGCAAAAAAATTCTAAGATATTTAACTTCAACCTGGGAGCAAAAACAAAAGTGCTGCATTTCATTTTTTCAGTGAACATTATCAAGTTGAAAAAAAATTACTTGGATAACAGTCTCAAGTAAGCACATACAAAGCAATAATTTTCCATCTACTTTTATATAAAAATAGCAAGTCATACATTGAGCAATGTGTGAAAAATATTTGTCATGTCCACATTTTTCTCTCACATATTAATATACCTAGGCTCAGGGATTACAGAAGCATGTAACAGACATCACAACTAAAAATCTGCAACCCCCAGACTTCACTATAATTAATAGGACACAGATTGGGGTCAAAGCACAATAAGGACATCATCTTCAAATGACAATATCAACTGGTAACATAAACATACTGCAAACCGTTTAAGGGAGACCGTTCTGACAATACAAGCACTTCATTAAATAAATATTATCACAAATCGACATGAAATCAACCAAAGAACAGAGGACAGTATTACAGATCAGGCTGGTCCCATAACATTTGAAATAACCCTGTGAAATAGATTATGCCAGAGGCTCCGTCCCCTCAAATATGACACACAGCAGAGCACCCAACTGGTCTGGTTCTGATTAATGCTAATGGAAAGATGAAGGTTGTGGGGAAACACAGATCTGGCCTAGAAAAACTCTGTTTTCTTTTTTGGTTGTGGTTTCTTTACAATATTTTTATTTTATCTTATTTTTTTTTCACATATATTACAGTTCCTGATTTATAGTTTTGGTATTTCATTAAAGCATTTATTAATCACAGAGGCCTAGTGGTTAAGACACCTACCTTTTAATGATGTAATTCTGAAAAGGAATCTCTGTTGTATATTTTATTTCCCTGCATAACCTGTCTATGGCTCTACTATCACTGTATAATTAAGGCAAATCCCCCCTAAAAAAGAATTAAGACTTTTTCTCCCTCCTGCTGACAACAGTTAGCCATGAACAAGCGTTCCGTTTAAGAACAGAACTGATGGGTTTTTTAATTCAGTCTCTATGAACTAATTTAAGTGACAAGAAATGAAAAGGATTAATGCCATGTGTTTAAAAATTGGTAGTGTCCCACAGCTGCATTACATGTGAGCTGGAGATGACTTAATATGACAGAAGCATCTGAAATAAAGCACCAGAACATCTACAAATGACAAGTGTCTCGAGGTCTTGGCGATGCTCAGAGCAGCCATCTTCATACCCACTACCATGTCTTTTTCAAATTGTGTTCCTTGACACTTTAATGCACCTACGTATATGATATGAAAATTTCAGACTTTAGCAACTTATAATTGTTCTTTATTTTAGTGTATACAGACTGCAGCTTCACTGGCCATAGGGATGAGTAAACTTCTGGAATGTTTCAAATGTAAATTTGATGAACGTTAGTTTGATTGGTCAGTTTAAAAACAGAAGGCTACAACCTACAGAGTTAAGACTGACAGTGCAATTCAAGTAAACTATTAACTTTTTCCACATTAACCTGTAGTATTGGAGGTAAGCAATTATTATAAATCAACAGATTTTTCAGTTGAAATCAAGGCACATAGAAATAATCTGGCCCAATGCTAAATGGCTGTAAGTACTCCTGCTGCACCTAGACGTCGTAGATATCGATGTGAGCTCCAGATGTGTAGTTGTCTTCCAGCAGCAGCTTCATCAGCTTGGCACAGGACGCCTCACAGGTGAGCAGCTGGCCGTGAGCATACATGTCTGAAAAAGACTTCCTCAGGTTGGGATCAGCTGTTTTGGATCTGGCCACCATCTGCATGGCTGTATCCAGAGGTCCTGCTCCAACACAGAGGACAGAGATGAATAGAGTTCAAGGGTTAACAACACAACAAACACATTTGTCTGCAAAGTAGGGAGGATGTGCAGAGTGGCCGTATGGCTTATTGCTCTGCTTTAGTGGTACAAAGGCACAATAAATTCTAATAAATGTAACATTATATTTTGAAGTTGTTGATAGAAATATTGAAGACTGCCACTAACAAATCCCCACATAAATGTGAAATAAGACATTACTAAATAAATGATCGTGAATAAATACAGAAAAAAATATAATAATACTTTTTTTTTTTTTTTTAACCTTTATTTAACCAGGCAAGTCATTAAGAACAAATTCTTATTTACAATGGCGGCCTGGCAAAAGGTAAGAGCCTCTTGAGGAGAAGGGGACAGGGGTTAGAGGGGTATCAAAAGATAAATAAATACAATCAAGACTCCAATAAAGTTTTCAAACTCAGCTCATTATCATCAAAATATTATTTCATCCTAATTTTTCTGATAATGAACTATTATTATTATTAATACTATTATTTTTTTATTTCATCACAAACTATTTGTCTGTAAAATCAAGACAAATCATTAATATTTTTTTTTCATTGTCTGAATCAATATTAAGGGTTAAATGGATGGATTGATTAGATCTATTTTAACTATGTATTCATCTGTAAAATCTTCATTTATCCTGAAATTTTCAAATATTAAATACTAGGAATGTAAGATCTTATTAAAATGAAATATCGCCGTTGGCCTGAAAAGAACATTTCTGCCAACATGACAGGCCGATAAGATAACTCTTAAACTATGGGACTTAGTTGAACTAGGTCAAATTTGCCTTGGTTTTGGCTAATGTCAGGGTTGTCCTAGGGAGACCATCATCCAAGCCTATTTAAGTGGGATCAATTTTACAGTTCTCTTTAAAAATGTTAGATGAAAATAAGTATGGCATGTTTTACATGTAACCTAAGTTAAGTGGTTTTCTTATGTTCCCCAGTGTATATTTTGAAAAGCATTGTATTTTATGTCTGCATCTGCCACCAGGGCCATCACAATAAGATCAGGCATCATAATATGTAAGGTCCACTACAGGAGAGACTTGATGTTCTCTGCAATTGGTGGAAATACATATGTGCATATATGGTGTAGGCATCGGCAATCAACCAAAATAAGTTGGAAAATATGGACATAAGGGATATTGGCAAAAATCCAACATGAATTCCTACTAAATACTTATTACTGAATTCCTTTTCATGTAAATTGCTTGATGAATAAGTAATAATAATAATACAGTTATATGTTATCCTATCCTATTATCCTACTATTAAATGGAGAAACCTCTGTCCCTCCATCCTTCCTTCTGTCATCATCCGTTTTCCTCCTCACTGCTTTGACCTACTTCTCTGAACTTGCACATAGGCTTTCATCTTGGTCATGTGCAGACAGTCACGATGCCGTTTTTGCATTTTTCCCACATTTCTACTGTTTATATTCGCTTTTCCACTACCCAGTCATACTGTGAGCACCATTAGCAGTGCGAGCTGCGCATGCGCGGAGACCACTTGGGA